GCGAGATGTTTCGGTGGCGCCCTCGTTCGGTTACCTTTCGTTACGTCATTACCTTGTGAGCAACAAGTTCGATGATGTTTGTAATGGGCATGGTGGAAGCTCGAAATCATTAAGCTCTCAAAGCAACACTGCCAACACCGTCAAAATTGAAGTTCTTACATTCCTCTTATTTCCATCCATGAGAAATCCTTTGATGACGTCATAGTCAGCATTCGGCCAATTGTGGTGGGCCGACCACAGTGACACTTTCGGTCGCTCACGTCAACAATAGTCGCGTGCATAACATATTACGATTAGAGTTTCTTTTTACCAGGACATTAACGACATGAATTAAATTGCTATTGTTCATAGTACTAAAATCGAAAAAAAAATATGTATTGGAACCTTCAAAAGTGCAACGTAGTGAAAAATGTTTTGTAGCTATACTTCGTCTCACCCTACGATGGACTAAAGGCAAAAGCTACGAACCACCAGATCCTATCACGGGCCACTTAGAAATTGCCTGGTATTTCGCTTCGATGAACTTTACTGAGTGACTCATCAATTTTAGGTTGCAAAGAAAGCCACGAGATACACGCTCTTTGCGGTGTCGAAGCTATAGAAATGATGCAGCGCATTGTGACAAGGAGCATTATTCGTCCATCCTTAATCAATGTTAAGCATGTCATAGTTTAGCGTGGAGCGTGATTGGACCTGGCTGCCCGTAGCTTTGGTCTTTAGTCCATCATAGGATGAGACGAAGTATAATGAACCTGATCTTTTCTCGGTGATATATTGTTTTCAGTGCCTTTGGTTTCATTGCTGTTCCTGGTGTTTTATTTATTTTGTTTTATTGTCTGAGACTATAGTGAGTCTGCAATATTAATAAATAAAACAATATACGTCATCAGATGAACCGAGATATGTTTAAAGATTTCTCGATCGAAGTTCTTTAATTTTTACAATTACAGATATTACATATGTAACCTGTTTATTCTTTAAATAAAAAAAATCCCTGCCTGAAAAAAGTTGCACTCAACATTTGGAAGGAAAACTAATATCTCTAATGTAACGTAAAAAAAAACGTCAAAATCCAATTTTAATTGTATCTCCCGCTTCACGTCGTTCCTTAAATTATGTTTACTATATTTAGACTGAAAAACGTATATAAATTCATGTTAAAAAAAACACATAATTTAATAAGGTGTGTAACTCCATTTTTTTATCGCACTCTTGCCAGCTGGAGCAATTCCCCCTAGAATTCGGATTGCTATAGCAACCGGAGATATCATAACTATGATATGTAATTGATATCACTGAACCTGGAAAAATATCAGATTATGTGAACAATATTTTTAAAAACGCTCTATATCTATCCCGATTTCTAGAAGAGCTAAAATTCCAACATATTTGAACATGTCTTCTAAAATAAATATTACTTTAAAAAATATATTTATCAATTGCTATCTTATTGAGAACACAAAACAGATATTGGGTGATTTCCGCTTTACCCAAGGGCATCGGCAACAGGCATTCAACAAAATTTAACACACAACGTGTTGATGGGCCACATTTCAAGCGAAAATATTGCGCTCGGCTATATATGACGAAAAAGCGTTGCAAACAGTCCAAGGCAACGTGAATATTTCACAGCCTATAGCAGGCAATGCAAAAGGATACAAATCCAAATAGCCCTTAAGCGCAACAAACGAGATCTTCTAAGCGGCTCAGTGGGAATCGAACCCTAGAACGTGCGATCCGCAGCTCAACGGTTTTGCTTGGCGCCTCGATTCAGGAGATGCGAGGGAGCATAAGCCGGGGGGCGGGTCCGTCCTCTTTCTGCTGTCCCTATAGGTCACATATGGAGTAAGAAGCGGCGTCTAATGTACAAGGTGTTCCGCAAAAATTTACAGCATTAATTTCTTTTTTTTTTTTTAATGTAGACAGCGTCTGAAATTCGTTGCTCGTCCTCACGCATCGGAAACGGGAAGCGCTCTATAGTGGGGGTTCCTCAGTTCTTCTCCTCAGCGGTCACGGCGGAACTGCTCGCGATCATGGCAAGCGAAATCTCTTTTCCGAGCGCAAACAACAACAAAACACTTTACTGTCCTAATCTAGCGCTGCAGCCGGGATGGGATTGTACTCCACAAAAGAGTTTTAGTATTGCGTATAGAAGCAAACGCAAGCGCTGTGCATTAGCGTTAGAGTTGCCTGCTCCACGCGGCGCATGCTCGTAGTCGCCATGTTCGAATTCAAGACCGCAATGTTTGACTGCGTGCACGCGCATTGTGGAACACCCAACGCTGACGCAAACTTACAGTGCTTGCGTTCGATCGTAGTCTCAATACTAAAACTCACTACTGATTCACCGGTTTTCTACGTCAACGAAACGTGCTGCAGTGAGAAGACGTGAAAGCGTGTAGGCGTTCCTTTGAACCGGAAAGTCTATAATTAGCAAAACGGAGGCTCAAAAAAAATTTTTTTTTTGTCCTTCTTTTATTTTTGCGAGGAGTACATTGGTTTGGAAGGATTGGCGACAAGTTAGGAAATTTCGCAGATTACCAAAATTCGCGACTTTGACAGCGCCTTATGGTTTACCCACAATTAATGTAATTTTACATGGATTTCTCAGATTAGCTAATGTCTTCATTGATTTTAGACTATTTCTATTTCTTTATTTGTTAATTAAAACGCTGCATTTGCTACCAGTGATAAAAGTTTGCAGAATTTTGATTGCCATACTTGTTCGCAGCTCTAAAATGAGATAATAAGTAACAAATGAAATTAGAGCTTGAAAAACTAGGTAGGTACTAGAGTATCTTAAATATTAATAAAAATGGCGGCAGTATGGGCCCCCGATAAGCACCAGGATCACAAAAGTACGCCATCTAACCATGTTGTCACGAATAAAAACAAACTTGATCAGTAAAACTTAAAATGACCATTAATATGGCGAACTTCTGCCGCAAAACGTGGAGTACGAAAGACCGCACATACTTTGACGGTGACGGAAGGACGGCTGTCTCAAGCAGCCATGCGGAGCTTCTTTTGTAAGTGCGTGAGTATCTAGAATTTCCCGAGCTCGAACAAGCAACAAAATTCTCCAGTCGTTTGGCTCATTCCAGTCATGCAAACGAAAGAGAGATAAAAAGGAACAGCGTGGGCGGGGGTCAAACCCCAGCAAACGGAGCAAGTTGCTGATAAGCTATTCGCACGCGGCAATATTAGTGTTTCTAGAAATTTCTCATTTCGTGTCATTTTTAGCATATTGAGAGCTCTGACATCGTTATCAAGATACACAAATAATCGAAGACTGGATGTAATATAAAGTCCTATCCGTCAAGCGTTGCTTTAAGAACACACACTTCTGCTCTCGCACTCTAATTCCGTCTTCAAGTTTTTGTAGCGAGAACTGCGTTTTTTTTTTAATTCTACATTTTGTGAACGTGCTATAAACTAATCACCGGTGGCGATTATTTGTAAAACATGGATTGATTTGGTGTTTCTTGCACTGGGAAAAATGTTAAAGCAATTAATTATCTCAATAGTAAAAAAAAAACCATAAAAAGAGCGCCATTCATTATTCCATGACAATAATCTGTGCGAGAAAAGGCGACAAGAACACACTATTATCAGCACATATTTTTCGACAAATACAATATTCTGCGTTACCTGTAAAGAGTATGAAATACCCTGTCTTTAAAGGGACACTGAAATCCAAAATATTTTGAAGTGACTTGATCGCACACGTATGTCGCAAAACAAAGTTTACGCGAAAAACTTCTTTCGTTCTATAATTACGGTGTGAGGCACACCTTGAGTTAGGAGAGAATCCTAATTACCGCCTGTACCGAAACATTTAATCCGCAGAAGTGTCTAGTTTCGGTTTCGTTCCAAAATGAAAACGTGCCTCCTGGCGTAAATATTACGCTGAACACCGTTTTTTGTTTTACGGATAAAGAGGTGACCGGCGCTCATAATCCCCTATCTTCATCGTATAAGCAAAAATAGTTTGTGTCGCTCAGTGAAGCCAACACACTAGACAGGCTCAGCAATTGGTATAGCGGCACGCATCTCCGACCCTCACTTTACACTCCGACCACTCATTTTACAAAACGGCGTTTATAACCGCCGTTTTGTAAAATGAGTGACGCCACCTATAGTGGATTGGAGCCGCAAATACGCATCCTCGAAAGCTCATTCTCCGCCCAGATGTAGCCCTAGTGGTCTGAATATGCTGCCAAAGTTTCCAAACTAGCGGTTATCTTATTGAAAAGTAATAACTACTTATTTGAAATTTGAAATTGAAAAATCGCTTCCGATGAACCTCTCGAATATACGAAGCTGAGTGGCGCCAGTAACCAAAAACGGGCCGCATTTTCCCATGAAATGTTTTGGAAGTTCACTGATAACCTATTAATAAGATAACGGTTAGTTATAAAATTTTGGCATCTGGTTTGGATCTTTAGCGCCAGATTTGGGATTAGAATGAGCATTCAGCGACGCATAGTTTATTTTAGCGGTAAAAAACAAAAACAACGAACACAAAAATATTTTGGGGACACGCTGTTCTTACAATTCACCATCGTGTATCGGCTATTTTGGGGGTTCCCGTACTCATAGTTCCGCTCGAGAGACGTTCGTTCTGAAAACGTAGGAGTCAAATATGGCGACGTTCTGCAAGACCCGTTCGAACCCTTCGCACAGCGCCTTCAATAAAGTCCGTTCTCTTCCCTGTATGGCAGAGTTCATTGTTTCTCTGACGAGCCTCGCAACCCCGTTGCCGGCAATTCCTTTTCAATAATTTTGCGGTTGTCTTCCTTTTCTTCGTTGCACCGATACTAAAAGAAGCAATTTGCTGAAGGTAGAAATACTTTGTTCTAATATTACAAAAAAAAAGCGAGTTAACTGCAGATGCGTGTCGTCCACAGGAATCATGCAGGTGTCATTTAGCCCCATGCTATGAATACGCTACTTATAATCCGATTACAAAAATCAAGTGTCGTTCCTGCTTTTTTCAGCCTTCACCTCAAGCCTCCGATACCAACCTCATGGACATCGAAGAGAAATCGCTACAAATTTTCAGGACAACAGCTCCCTTCCTCCGCGAGGATGGCGTTAAGGAGCGCCCTTGGCTGGACGTTTCTCTGCCTTGGTACGCCAAGGTGTTCTTGTGGTTGCTGAGCTTTGCTCAGTTGCCATCAAGCCTGGCACTGGTCCCCGACGGGCACAGACGGTGGGCAAAGCAACGAGGCGCGCCACTGCACCTTGGACACATAAAGGGGAGCTCTCTTCTGGAGCAGGCAAGGGCCACTTAGGCATACGAACTACACACTAAGTTTTGCACCAATAAGAGTGTGAAAAGGTGTTCCAGAGACTTATATCATTCATTACAACCTTTCAGCATCATTACTTCAACCTAATACACCCTTCATTTTTGAAGGTTGTAAAAAAGTTTCTCAAAAAGTGTGCTACGATAGATAATGAATAAAATTGCACACAAATAGAAAAAAACACTATTCCTTTCCATTTGTGCGATATTCTAACCATGTTCAAAAATTACCAACTCGCCCAACTCACCACCATGCTAGAATGAGGTGAACACCTTTTTTAAAAAAGTGTTCGCCACATTGACATCCGCTTTTATGAACGTTGTTTCAGTGACGATCTCGTATATTTTATGCCTCTACAAATGTCTTCCTTTACACATGTTTCTCACACTAAGATGTAAAGAGAGCAAAAAAAAAAAAAGTAACTTCAATTTAGTTATAAAAAGTCGAAATCCCGCGAAAGACTGCTGTGCAAAATTATTGTTTGGCCCTCCGCGAAAGTAAGTTGTGTACGCTGGCTCAGCGGCCGCCTGAAAGATGTCACTTTACTATAGCACATTCAATATGGTTGACCCAAGGAAAGCATGCCTACGGGGAGCAGCGCTGAGAAATCCGGTTTTTAGGGTCGTAGATTGCAAATCCCGCGGATATTCATTGCAGTATGTTGAAGCAGTATGGAGTTGCCTGCATGTTACTTAGACAGGTGTACAACTTGTAGAAAAATTTTCGAAGCGTAGAGTCAAATCTGACTGACTCACCTTGCTCCAGCCGGCTTAAGAATTTGATGACGTCCCACTGAACATCAGAATTTGAGCGGCTTGTACACAAAAAACTCCGCAACTCAATCAATAAAATGGCTAAAGAACACTACATTGGTCATGGCTTGGTGCACCACATGATTTACAATATTCTGCAGCACTACGAAATATCCGCCAGGTGGGTACCAAGACAACTTACGCTAGACATTCGGGAGCGTGGATCCACTGTGCACAACGAGAGACCAACCGGGAAAGCAAAAAGTTGAGGTACATTTCGTCACAAAGGCCGAAAAAGGTCAGAGAAATTAAAACGCAGGGTCTTCTGTGACCAGAAAAAAACAATATTCAAACATTACATGCTGGGGACTCAGTGCCAACATTATGTCGTATTGTGACCTGATTCTAAAGGACTTGAAGCCTTGAATCAGTTCAAGGCGCCTTGGTTTATTAATATATTTAGTGCCAGGTGAACGTAAAAGAAGAATGAGAGAGAGAGAGAAAGGTATAAATACCAGCGGTGTGTATGCCCTTTTCCACCCCTCTCTCTTTCTAAAAATTATTTTATGTTCAGTTGGCACTATACAATGCAATGAACCAAATAGCTTAGCTTCAACCCCCCCCCCCCCCCCCCCCCCCGGATGGCACGAGTGACAAGCAAAAAATATTTCAAGGGTCAAGGTTTTAAGTGCATGCCGCATCTGTCATACCAAAGAAACCTAGCACCGATCGATTTTAATTTTTCAGATCACCCAATGCAGTTTTCATAAGAATGAAGTTTCTTATAGGTACTGAACTGAAAGCAGAGGTGCATCTTTGGCTTTGACATCAACAGCGAGATGTTTTCTTCCTTAGAATTAACGCGCTGGTGAAGCGTTGTTTTACAAATATGTAAAGCAACGCTTTAACACGGAAATTGCTGTTATTTCTGCCTAGGTGATTATGCAAATAAAAATGTATTGCGATTACTTTTTTACCTTGCCTCGTATTATGTATAACGAAAAGTACTAACAGAAACAAGGCAACATATGTTTAACCTTTGAAACTGCAGAGGTAGTCAGAGTGTCGAACCGATATTTTTAACGGTTCGGTTCGGGTTCTGGTTCACGGCTTTCGGTTCAGTTCCGGTTCAGTTCCGGGGCGAAAAAAATAACGGTTCAAACCGGTTTGAACCGGTTCGAACCGGTTTAAACCGCTAAATTGAGAACATATTTTTCGCGTTGTTCTGTCAATAGGCACTATTTACGTCGTGAAACTGACTACTGTAAACGACCTAGTTTTTTCGAGGACCTAATTCTTCCGAATTCCGCGAATCGCCTACAATACGCGAAAAATGGGCCCCGCGAACACTTTTGGTATAATGTAAACACGTTGAAATTTATATTGAGATTCTACCGAGTCGCGAAAATTACAACCCGCGAATTATTCCAAAGCTTCAGCTTTGACCTAAATCGCGAAATATTGAGCCCACGAAAAATAAGTCATTTACAGTATATAGTTTTTTTTTTCTATCGTTTTTTTTTTCAATCCAGTTTTACTTTCACATACCAAAATTATAAAATTCTGTTATTTATTTTTACACAACAAGAAAAGACGATCTACATTAACATAGGAAACGTCGTGTTTATACGACTCAACATCCCTTCGTTTACCAGCAAGGAGGTTATAATAAGCAGGAGGTGGCGTCATTATCCCCAATGCATCAGAGACGTGTGCAATGCATGGAGCGAAGTGTAACGGAAGTAGGCGTGGCCACCAGCCGCAACCAGCATTTCTTGACCAATGGGAAGCCTAGTGAGTGGGCGCCGCCATTAATTTCGGTGCAAACAACCGCGTTGCGATGACATTTCCGTGGCAACGCGACTGTGTGCACCGAAAGTAATGGGGGCACCCACTGTTATTTTAAACAGCGCTTAACGGGAGACTTTTAAACCGGTATGGTCGGAATTGGATGAGATTATTATAAACGAACGCCTGGTTGCCCAGCAGAAAGTAAGTGACTAGAATTAAGACGCTCTAGACGACGCACCGTGAAGGACTTGGCGGTGCGCAACGCATTTTTTAATAAACAGCAGCAGCAAATCGCACGAGCGCGCATGCAAGCCACGAGCGCACAGAACAACGGGCTCGCGCTTCCAGTTCCGACTTCGGTCGCACATAATGTGGAACTAAGTATAAACACTCACGCTGCAAAGCATTTGCATCGTGGACGCCCACGGCGGACGCCGACCGCATCGAAAGCTAGCCTCGTGAAGCACACGCCGGAGCAGATTAGAAAGCAGACGAACCGCCTGTGTTCTACCCCACGGCCTCGGAACGGGTGCGCAAGGCAGTCTGGGATTAAACGCCTCCTCCGGCTTCACTCAGGCTGACGTCATGCCGAGTCCTGTCTGTTTAAACGTCCTTGTTTACCAGAGTCACTTATTTTGTACCTGAATCGAAATGTTTTCGCGAAATGAAGTAGGTTGCCTAAAATAACCATGATTGGTGCAACTTTGCATCGCAGCATTAGAGGTTGAATCGTGGTTTTGCCCCCAAACTAAGGAATAAATTAAAGTGCATAAAATTATGAAATGGGCACCTCGGTAGCCATATATAGTGTAACGCTTTATTCTCAGCGTATCTCGCCCCTGCTGTTTTCTTCTATCCTTTTAATCCGAACATCACTTCTTCTTCTTCCGTCACACTATCCCCTCACGAAAAATAAATGACAGTAAATTCAGTTCAAGCTGAGCAGCCCTCGTACCGAGCAAGGCGGTTTCCGTGAACCACGAGCATGCGCGAACGAGCATTGCGTTGCACGCGGTATACCAGATCGTTCAAGCGCGTGACCACAATTGATGGTCCTTGCCAGTTACGCTGTAGTCTGGGCTAGAGTGCCTTCATACACACGCGCGCTTTTGCTTGAGTGGTGACATCTCGGCCATTTTTCCGCCCAATCGTTCTTTCTATGCATTTTGAAGTGCGCGCAATCCGGTGTCACTCAGCACGAGCGCGTAGCTTTGGCTAATGCATAGACGCCATTTCACCACCCAAGTCACGCACCAAGTGCGCGAGAGCGTCACGCGCTGGCACATTCAGGGTAACAATGGATATCTTCACCCTGAGACAGACAGACATGTAGGCACCCTAGTCTGGGCGAAAGCCCCCGTTTTCGCAGAGGGTTGTAAAGGCACACTTTGTCTCCCGGTTGAAACATTTCTTGCGTGGTATGCTCGTCGTATCGTGCCTTCATTCGCTGGAAAGCGATAGACAGGCGCCCTCGAACGAAGTCGTATGTCCGCTCGAGACGCATCATCAGGTCACCAACATAAGACGTGGGGTCAGAGGAACGGTCTGGTGATCTTGAGAAAGCGAGGTCGCACGGCATGCGAATTTCCCTTCCAAAAAAAATCATGGCGGTTGTGTACCCGGTGTCTTCGTGAACTGCGGTTCGACAGGAGTAGAGGAACAGAGGGACAAAGCAGTCCCAGTCGTCTTGATGGCTGTTGACAAACATCGCCAAATGCTGCAGTATGGTGCGATTAAACCGCTCCATGAGGCCATTGGACTGTGGATACAGCGGCGTCGTTCTTGTTTTGGTGATGTTGAACAGTCGACAGACATCTTAAAAGACCTGTGGCTCGGAATTTTGTCCTTGGTTTGAGTGTAATGACAAGGGTGCGCCGTACCGGGATATCCAGTGGGTGACCAAAGCATCTGCCACGACAGGTGCGGTCTGGTCAGGAATAGCGATGGCTTCTGGCCATTTTGAAAAATAGTCTACTATGACAAGGAGAAACCTGTTGCCGGTTTGTGTTCGTGGTAGAGGACCGAGAGCGTCTATGGCGACCCGTTCAAATGGTGCTCCACTGACGCCTTCTTGCAATGGCGCCTGTACTTTTTTGTGTGGGTCCTTACGCGAAGCGCACAGGTCGCACTGACGGCACCACAACTTGACATCGTTGTGGCACTGCAACCAGTAGAAACGCTCACGTATCTTCTGAAGGGTACGGTTGACGCCAAAATGGCCTCCTTCGGGACTGCTGTGAAGCTGTCGAAATATCTGGGCGCGGAATTCGCGTGGTGCAACTAGTTGCCATACGACTTGGTCCCCAGTGGGTGTTTCCCAGCGTCGGTACAGAAGTTTGTCACGTAACTCTAGTGTGTCCCACAGTGCTCAATAGCTTAATGCTGCTGGAGATAGGTGGGATATCTCGGTATGTTGTGGGCTACGGC